TGGCAACCTGCTATTAGAATCGGATTCAAGATGCATAGCATTCTGTAAGCATATTGACCTGAGAATATTGCACATGCATAAACTAAGAACGTTTAGAACTTGACTCTAACGATCATAAACAACGTATACATACATATAACATCAAATCATTGACATAGTGTATTATGATTTTACCTGAATTGAAATTACATGTCACCAAAGCTTAGGATCCACGATTATATTTTGCAAACCATTGCATACAAAATACCTAAAAACAGCAGATTTTGCCTACGGAGCTTTTGTCTTCTTCTTATATACACACCCAGCTCCATTTTGCGTTGCATAAATGCTACAGGAAGAGAGTTCGAACACTCCCATCCACAACCTTCAGCAGATTCATTCATAAGATACTCTACTGACGAGCTACGCTAATGGCAGCAACAGGCGGAGATAACAACAATGTTTTCTTTTTTCCCCACCACGTCGGTAATGGTCTAATGGAAGGATGTGCATATCAGAATTGGATGCAAACTCTGTTTTCATAACCGGACCGAAAGCTGAATCGGAAAAATAAGTAGTTTGGAGTTCAGTGGTTAATCGTTACAAAATCGTTAGTTAACGTTGACAGAACCGTTCATGATATATAACATACAAAACTTGTATAATACACTAATTTAAGAATTAAGTTATCATTGAACACAAACAATTTCAAATTCATATCATCATTAAAATATCTAACAAATCATTCAAAGCGTCTCACAAAATAAATCATAATTTTTTTTATTCTAGTTAAAAAACTTATAGTGCCAATCGGTAGTGACCACGTAAAGTCGACAACTATGGTTGGAAAATGAGAAGACGAACATAAATAAAATTAATAATTCTAGTTTGATGGTCTTAGTTTACGTTAAAGTTTTTTTTTTTGTAATTTGTAGTTAAAATAGTGAACCAACGGACCAATTAAACTGTGGTGGTTCATCTGGTTTTATGTTGAAACGTGAAAAATCGTTTGGTCCATCAATAAGGTCCAAAGAATGGATCGGACCGCTATCGTAGTTGGTTTGACGGTTCACTGGCCCACCAGTTGATTCGTTTCGGTTCTTATAACAATGGATGGAAAGCTAATTGAAGAAAATAAGAGTTTCTACAGGCTTTTGGCAATCATTTTTAGGAAAGATTTAAAGATGGCAACAACAATCTGGATTAGGAGAATATTCGATTCAACACAGAAGGCGGTGATTCGAGACTAGATGATGGATCAGAAGTTCAATTGGAAGAATGACGAAGCGCGTGGATGCATTGAATTAAACTGGGGATCCCTCAAACAGAAACCCCCAAATTTCTAAACAAAGGATGCACTTGTCTGGTTCCAACAAAACAGGGGTTCGGGTATGTTGTTTTCGATCCAGTTTGGGAGCAGTTCAACGAGGATTTGAGCACTAGAGGCTTCAAACTTTGAGGGCAAACCTTTTTGAACAAGGGGGCATGATATGATCCAAAGTAGCCTCTTTTACAAGTTTCCATTGCTTGCTAATGAATCAACCCAAGTTGGCAAGAAAAAGGGCAGAATTTGGTTAAGTGTTAAAACAGTTTCATGGTGCCTACTTTGCGGATTCATATCTCACAATTGGTTTGATGGAAATGCAAACAAAAGGTTAGGAATTCAAGAGCAAGAGTTTAACTACTTCTCTGAAGGCTGGATTCCTTAAAAAACAAGTTCCTAAAGGCATGAACACTATTGACAAAGGTTATATGACGAGCACAGGAAAACTTACTAATTTTGGCCAAGTCTGGAACTGTGTACGGTACCCTAGTTTGAGTGCTTATTTGAAATGGAGTAGGGAGATTCGAAGCTAAAGGAACTTGGTACGTGGAAGTACAAGATTTTCTGAGCAACCTGAAGGAATTGGCTGATCAAGATCATACCTCTAAGACTTCGAACCAACCTGTGCAAGATCATATGGAGTCTGGGAATTCTGTCTTGCGCCTCAAGCAATCTATTTTCTTATCGGATTAGGATTTCTATTCTTTGTTCGTTTTGGGTTTGGTTTTCGAGTTCCTTTGTGTTTGGGACGTCTTTTAGAGATTTTAGCTTAGTTTAGTCCTATTTAAAGTCTTTCTACTAGCATTGTAATGGAGATTTCGTTCAATTGAATACAAACTTTCAGTGTTGGTTCACAAAGCTTTGCTTCGTGAGTGAGTTGAGTTGCTTAGACGATTCTAGGTGACTTGAGTGCTTGTATCGATCAAGTATACCCCCTTGATCTTGGCCAGCTTCTACCTTATACTTCTCGAGCCTTCTTCCTTGTGTAAGATTGCACGAAAGTTCCATTTCCGAAACACATAACACTACCTTGTTTGTAAGTTTTTTGTTCTAAGTTTCAATACAATCTTTGAATTAAAAGGCTGCGAGACTTATGATTCAAAGACGACTGCTTTTTAATTATATTCATATATTATATGAGAAACTCTTTTTATTCATTTTACATTAGCTCTTATATTAAAATGTATTATTAATATTTTTCAGCCAACACTCAATTATTATTTTTTAAGTGTTTTTCTAAAAGCTACCAAAATCGGCTTTCACAAAAGCTATAACAGGACACGAAAAAAAAAAAAAAAAAAAAACCATAGCCGGAGATAACAACAATGTTTTTTTTCCACCACGTCGTCTAATGGAAAGATGTGCATATCAGAATTAGATGGAAAGCTAATAGAAGAAATATAAGAGTTTCTATAGGCTTTTGGCAATCATTTTCATGTAAGATTTAAAATGGCGACAAGAAAATCCCTTTTCCCGGAAGAGTTCGCGGTGATTGGATTTGTTGGGTTTATAAGAAAGTTACCAGCAGGTCACGAGTGGTAGTTACAAGGTTAGCTTAAATGTACGCAAACAACTAAAAATAATATCGTTACAATCTTTTAGCCACAAGGCCAAAGTTACACTTAATCGCCAGAAAGGGATGAACTCCAAGTGCTCTACAAACCGCACGTAGTCTTAGTTCCAAGTATAAATAGCCCTCGGTTTGAATTTCTTATGCAAGTTGTTTCCTTTTCTTCATAGCTTGTTATGTTTTCTGCCTGCTTCCTCTCCTTCGAAAATGAATTTTCGAGGGGTCGCGTACCTCCTTCTACTGTTCATCGCTCTAGTCACGTTGATAGTATACCTCATCGTTTTTTTTGTCGTTCGCCCCTCGGGGCCTTGTTTCACAGTTTTGCGAGCAGAGTGTGAGCAGTTAACCCCACTCCCCAGCCTACCCGAGCACCTTCTGATAAACACTTCCTTCAATCTCCTCCTTCTACTCAACAACACGAGCAAAAATACGGTCGTGTACTACGACAGGATGAGTTTATACATTTCGTATAGGGGTCACAACATAACGGACGAATTTGTGTACGAACCCTTCTACCAAGAAAAGAGGGGGGATTCCCAAAGAATAGCAGTTACTTTGGCTGGGATTGGATTCCCTGTGCAGTCACCAGGAGGTCATTTGGATGCAGGTTTTGGGTGTGGGATTTGGGCACAATCCTACATAGTGTAAGATTTTATTAAAATCACTCGTTTGGAAAGCAATTATATGATGAGAGATTTTAAATATTAGAGATTTCAGAAACCCACAATTGTGGGATTATGAAATAGCTGATGGTGATCAGCTATTTTAAAATCCCACACAAATTCCACAAATTAAAAACCTGGGTTTTTAAACCAGTAATTTGAGTCAAAATCCCACAAATTAAAAACCTGAATCCAAATGACCCCAGAGGTCTGGTCCCGGTTTGGGGCCGACGTCAATGCAGGGAGGGTAATCATACGTCTTGAGGTGAAGGGAAAATTTAGGGGGAAATTACTTGACATAGTTTTTACACGTAGGTATGGATACCATACAAAATGTGCTTTGGTGTTTCAGCGTGCAGGTCCAACCATTTGGACGCTGGGGGAAACACCTCAATGTTAAAAAAAAAAAAATCTGTTGGATTTTACTTTTTTTTTTTTTTTGTTTTTATTGTTGATATGATTTATGATTTGTCTGTGTGTTTGGACTTTGGAGTGGACGAAGGCTTCTTAGTTCTTAGTTCTACAGTATTACATTTTTTAATTTCCCCATTTTTTACATTTTCTTTTAGTTTTGGACAATATAGCTAGAAAAGGACTGCCTAATTTTCCCCAATAAAGCAAGAACTGCATGCTGACGTGTCGGAGGGAACCCGGAGGGAATACAGAAGGGAGTTGCTAAAGGTCGCCCTTAAAATTGCTAAAGGTCGCCCTAAAAAGAATCAAAGTTACACTTTTACCCCCTTAGCTTCTTTACCTTCCCTTTCTCAAACAAACACCACTTGAACTAAAAAAACACTATCTAAGGAGAGAAAAATCCATCATCGTCATTTTGAAGCCGATATCGTCGGAGTAGCGACTCCGACGAGGTAAATACATTAACTGAAAAACGAAAAAAAAAAAAAGGAACCGCAAATCACCTGCGGTTGGACCATGGCTGGACCGCAAATGAACTGCGGTTGGACCATGGATGGACCGCAAATCACCTGCGGTTGGACCATGGCTGGACCGCAAATGACCTGGGGTTGGACCATGGCTGGACCGCAAATCACCTGCGGTCCAGCCATGGTCCAACCGCAGGTCATTTGCGGTCCAGCCATGGTCCAACCGCAGGTGATTTGCGGTCCAGCCATGGTCCAACCGCAGGTTGACCGCGGTCAGCCGTTGGTTCAACCGCGCGTTGACCGCGGTTGACCGTCGGTCTAACCGCGGTTTGACCGCGGTCGGCACGGTTTTTTTTTTTTTTACCTTCTTCTTCTCCGACGAAGCCTTCTTCTCCGGCGAAGGCTGCTGCGCGGGTGGGATCGCGGGAGTTCGGCGCGATGGAGCGAGGTGCAGAGGGAAGGGAACGCAGGAGAATAGGTTTAGGGCTTGTTTGTTTCTTTCAATTTTGATTTTTTCATTAAGGGTATACAGGTAATTTGACATCTAAGTTAGGGCGACATTTAGCAATCCAGATACAGAATAGGCTAGCACCGGCTTGCCTCCTAGAAAATTTTCGACGATTTCCCGCCCCTCCAAAATTCCCCTCTCTCTTTCCTTTTTCCATCTTCTTTCTCTGATCTGAGAAAACCCTAATCGTTGAGTTTCCTACTCCAAGCGGCGGCGGCAGCAGCAGCCTCCAATTGAGTTGCTGTTGTTCAATTTTGCGAGATCAAACGCTAGTAGAGCGAGCAGTCGATGATGGAGGGAATCTGATGGAGGGGATCTGGTATCGTAGGGGAGGTCGATAGGAATTCATCGTGAGGGAGGGAGAGGTCGCCTGTGTGTATCATTTCACGAAAGTAAAGCCCAGCAGAGTATGTTTGCTGTATTGTATCATTCTTCCTCTATTTTTTCATATAATATGGGTCCAAAACATCAGATTCTTGACTGTTGTGTTCTTGGCTTCCAGACGCCAGAGTTTCTGCAGGTTTGAGCTTTGCTATAGCTGTGACAGGTCAAAGAAACATGGGATCTTGCTCCACTCGTTCAAGGTATCTACTCTCTCTCTTTTTTTTTTCTCGTTCCCCTGTTCTTTTATTTGGGTTTTGGTTTGTTTTGGATACTTCGGTTGTGATTTGCTTCAGTATTGTGTTCAACTATGTTGATCAGAGTTGTTGGGTTCGCTCTTCAATCCTGAGATTCTAACCAATTTTTTTCCAATTAATGGACTATTGGGAGAGCTTCATTATGATGAATCGTACGTCATTCTCTCTCTTGTAATTTCCTCTTTAACAAAAGTGAGTGTGACCATCATACTTGAAGCTTGTACAAGTCTGTCCTACCATACGTTTAAATCAAATGTTATTAACAAGTTTGTCATGATTTGAACATGCCATGTTGAGAATTAGTTCGTTTCAGTGCCTCAAATTGTCGGGAGAGTTAGAATGATGAATTTTGTTTCATTACAGAACAATGCTAGTAAATCTGCTGTCTTTCTGGAATCTGGGCGAACAGTATTGTACTTCAAAATTGTGGTTTGATCCAGAGAAATATTACTACCCATTTAGTTGGTTTCTTAAATTTTTGGGCCCGTTTAGTATTGTTGCTTGTTTTTGTTTCTTGTTGTTTTTTAAGAAATTTGGCAAACCAAGAAAAAAAAAACGTGTTTAGTTGAGTTTTTATTTTTTGTTGTGAATCAGAGTTGCACAACAAGACCCAAATATGAGAAACAACAATTTATAGCTTTGGATCTGATTTTTAAACATGTTGCACACGGGATTCCTACTGGTTGGGCGCTTGATTTCATTAAAACAGACCAGTTTTCGAATCCCCACAGAAGCAAAAAAAAAATTTTAACACAGCCACCCCCCAAAAAAACCCTACTTCCCCTTTTTCATCTTCTTCTTCTTCTCGACATAACACAACCGCCCCTTTTCCATCTTCTTCTTCTCGACAAAACACAGCCGACACCCATCTTCTTCTCCCAGCCTCCGCGCGGCGCGACCCCTCTGCCTCCGCCCAACGCCGCTCCGCCTCCGGCCGCCGCAGCCCTCTTGTATTGAATGTTCTATGAATTTCGGTTGGACAAATTGTAGATGGTCAGTGAATTTCGGTTGGACTTTGCTTAATATTGCGGACATATCTCTTTTTCTGGTTTTTAGTTCTTATAGTAGTAACTAAACGCGTTTTTGTTTCTTGTTGTCAGCTTTCATGATTTTTCAGATTTATCAACTAAACAGGTTTGTGTTTTCTATTTTTTTCCTGTTGTGGTTGTACATCTGTTTACACAACACCACTGCAACCACAACAGCAACAAAATGATACTAAACGGGCCCTTAGTTTTTACAAGACTCTTCCTTTCGTTTGCATCTCTGTCTGAAGTTCCGATTCCTGCTGCTTCCGTTTTAGGCGACTGTTGAATTAACACCACAACAAAAGCATTTTATGATCTTTCGACGAAAATGGAAGATTCTGTTATGGATAAACTAGCTCCAGCTGACATAAACTCATCATCATCAATAGTCAAACCATATGGAACTCTGTCAACCATTGTTGCCCTAGTCATCCAAATTCTACTATCTCTCATGGTCCTTGCCAAGTGAAGGACAAAACAAAGAGGACTTCAAATAGAAATTGGTGGTGATCCTAGGTATGCAATCTGAAACACTCGCCAGAGTTGGTTGAATCTCCATGGGATGATGGGAAGTAGCAGAAACCATGGCTATTCTATTCGAGCAGTCTTGCCAGAGTATCCAAAGCAGAAATGTATTTGAACCAAGAAATTGGTTGAAAAGGAGTTCTTTACAGCCAGTGATCAAATGAAGTTTGATAAGGTTCGCTTGGGAGGCTAAGAGTCGGAGAGCTATGGACAGGTTTTCGATTGCTTCTGCAATTTTGCTTCTGGGATGATTTGGTTGGGGCATGATGTTAGTAGTGTGCTGCAATCTTTCCCGAGACTAGAGCTGAATGGTTCATTGCATTTCAGGTATGATTTACTTCGAACCTTCTATCATATTTAGTTTTTTAGATCACCTGGTTCTCTTGATATGTGAGATCTGTTCATTCTTTGTGTTTTAGGGCTGTGTTAATTTTAGCTGCTGGTTGTGGGATTTGTTATGGGTCAGCATTGACCTTAACAGATACTTCAAACAAGATCAAGAAGGGAACTCCAGAGGATTTTAGTATGCAGTTTCCTTTCACTCTAGCCTTTAGGTGTCTAGCAGTTTGTTACATGTTATAAGAGGAAAACATCACAAGTGTAGTCCCATGATTTGCATCATATGTGCCTATGTCACATTCCATGACATGAATTCCCAAAAAAAAATCTCTTGGTTCTTTTTCTGAGATCCACGAGTTGGAAGTATGGCTGTGAGCTTATGCTGGTTATTATTTGATCTCTAATTAGTATAACAGATATGGAGGATTCATGCAAACTTCTTAAAGCATGTTTGAAAAATGTTCTTCACCCCTCTCATGTCATAATGTGTGTCTGCAGTTTAGATGTCATCGGTAGATGCTTCTCCCGGAAAACAGTTGAAAATATCTTCGCTGCGCGTGTAAGTTAGTTTGACTCCACTTATATCTTCGTCGATATCATGGAGACTGTGCCTACCTATATGCATTGACAAACTATTTAAGAATGACTCTTCATTTGTCGGAAAGGGAATCCATGGATATGGCTGATGATTCGATCAATAACACCATTTAGTCACTCAAGAAGGCTTCTCCACATGTAATTTTGTAAATAAGCCCACAGAGTTTGACTTTGATAATGTAAGTCATTTGTGTTCTCTTGCAAGTATCTGCACTTTGGAAGTGCTCGTGTTGACATCTCGTGTTCATGGTTTTTTAATGCATAAAGACCTAAAATCATACACGCAGTTGAATGGTAGATATGCAGAGTATCTTGGAAAGCCTGCTGGTCGTGATCAACATCCTCAAAATACACCACTTTAACGAACAGATGCAGTGATTTTAGTAGGGTTTCTCTTGTTATTTTGGATGCTGGCTTCCCATTTGGTAGTTGTGTGCTAGACTGATAGAACTGTCACCCCTGGGTAGAAGAATTAGTCTTGGTGAGTTGATTGTGTTCTGGGAAAAGGGAAGGGAAAGTGTAGGAAAGGAGAGATTGAGGAAGAAGAAGGGAACAGAGGAAGAATACAGAGAAAAGAAGGAAGAAGAAGAGCAGGGAAAAGAGTTTATGTAATTGATTTTCTATACTTTTCTCCTTACAGCCAGCCCTATTTATATGACACACTAATTACATATTGCTCCCCAAACTAAATCGTATTACAATTAACCCTCTATCCATACATTGGTTCGTTACAAGAACCCAGGATCTAGGGTGCTCCCGATTCTTTTAGAGAATTGGTGTTAGACATATAATTAGTAGAATAATAATAATTAATAATGTTAGGGTTAGGCGGCTAACGTAGGCCGATTAGGTTAGGATTAGTTTATTAGGGTTTTGGGTTTATTTCCTATAAATATGTACTTTGGGTTTACGTCATAATTAGTCAAAAAAAGTATTAAGCAAAGTATCCTTCTAAACCTAATTCCTCTCAACTCCTAATTTCTCGTCTCACCCAATCCAAGGCTTCGGCCGATTCCCAATTCTATTATGTTCTTCTCATCTAAATCCCTAATTCTTTCTCTTAATCCGTAAATCCCTAATTGTTACGATAATTACGGGTGCCGAAGATCAGTCTCTAGAATCCTTAGCAAGAGGGTTCTTTCAGTGGTATCCGAGCCCGGTTGCAGGCACCCACATTAGAATCATGTCGATTTCTCGAGAACACAAATTGGAGGAAGCTGATCGAAGAAGATTCGCGGAAATAAGACAATTGTTGGCGCAGTTGGCGTCCTTCGACGGAAACGACGATGAAGAGGACTGGTGGGACGAGGAGGTCCCGGTGGCGGCAATCAGAACACCACAGCTGAGCAAGATTGAGGCTGAGCTGATGGGCGAAGACGACATTGTGCAGGCATAGGAAGAAGTTGCCTCGAGTGAGCTGTCGCGGCGGGAGAAAGAGGCAGTTGTTACCATCGATGGGAAAGAAGCCTACACTGCTGCTATTCCCGGTGTTGTTGTCACCCGAGAAAAGGCAGACCTCGTGGTCCCAGACTCATCGTTGGTGGGTTTGGGAGGAAGGTTGTCGCCGGAAGACGAGCTGAAGACGGCGGAGCGGCAGGATTTGTCAAAGATGAGAGGTACACAAGAGCGGGTACGTACAAAAATAGATTTGGTGGATCGGAAGAAACAAGGTATGTCTCCAATCCAAGGTGGTGTTTCGTGGAAATTTACAAAAAATGGAAATCAGAAGAAAAGAAGAAGGAAAGACCTAAAGATGGGTTAGAGCCGAAATGGCGCCGCGTTGGTCCGGAATCTCCTCGAAGCTGTCGCGGGGATGGTGCGCCGACGAGGAAGGAGACAGAGGAGGGGTTAATAGCGGATCATAGAGACGACCAGGATCAACGCGAAGCAGAGCCAGAGCGAGTTCGTCGGGCTTCTTCGTCCTCGACGCGGATCATGTGGATGGAGACACGATATGCGGCCACTCCAGACACAGCGACGACGAACAGTAATCCGTTCATGGCGAGGTCGGATGAACAAAGAAGACAGCACACAACGAATTCTCTCCCTTCTGTCAGATATCGAACGACGAAGTGGGGGAGGCAAGGGCTTCGATCTCCTCGAGCTTGGCACGAAGCCGTCAGGTTGTCGTAGATCCGACCGGAGAACGGCCGCAGTCAGGGGAAGAAGCTGCGCGACCAGTGAAGGATGACTCAAAGCCGGAGGTCGAGTTGGAGGAGAAGCCTCCGCGAGAAGACGAGACAGAGTGGAAGGCGGTGACGGGTTGCGATGGCCGCCAGGCCGCCGGGAAGCCGGTTCGCCAACGAGAAACAAACGGAAGGAGGAGGGCGGCGCCCTTCCGCTACCCTAGCTCGCAAGGCTTGGGCCATGGGTCGGCTCGTGGGATCAGTGACACTGGACCCGGATTGGTTCGAGAAGGGCAAAAGCGGGACCGAGGATTGAGCTGAGTTGGGCTAGGCACGGCCTGATCCTATGGTCGTCCGAGAGCAGCTTAACAAGAGCTCTCTTGTATGGGTTTGGCCAAAATCAACAGGCCCAATTGCTGAGAAAGATGGGTGGAAGGGTGGACAAGAAGCAGCCGAGGAGAAGTGGACGGATTAGGCCGAACAAAAAGGTTATTATGGGTCAAACAGTGACTGTCTTGTTGGATCTACTTGGCAGGAACAAAACTTGAAGAAAGAAAGTTGTGGGCTTTCAAAAGAGATTAAACCAAGTCCGTATAGAGAAGAATGGAACAAAAATGGACTTGTCATTTGTTTGGGCCAAAACTCCCTCTTTCAAGCAATGGTGGGCCGAGTACAAGGTGAAGAAGGAGAATGTTGGGAGGAGCTATGGGTTATTTTCACCACTAAGCCCATTGTGGAAATTATGGAGCACACCCTTGAAGACCTACTAATGGAGCACAAGGAAGAACAATTATTCGATTCTTATTTCGTGGAATTCGAAAAGGAAGAGAAAGAATTGTTCGGCTATGGGCTGGGACGTGGGTGCCGCGTGGTGTGGGAAGAATCGTGGAAATTGAAAGTTGGTGGAGAAAGATTAGTTTGTGGAATTGAGCGCAATTGGAAGCGAAGAAAGCGGAAGGTCAAGAAGACAAAAGTTGACTGCAACCTTGAGGACAAGGTCGCTTCCAAGGAGGGTGGAATGTTAGACATATAATTTGTAGAATAATAATTAATAATGTTATGGTTAGGCGGCTAACGTAGGCCGATTAGGTTAGGATTAGTTTATTAGGGTTTTGGGTTTATTTCCTATAAATATGTACTTTGGGTTTACGTCATAATCAGTCAAGAAAAGTATTAAGCAAAGTATCCTTCTAAACCTAATTCTTCTCTACTCCTAATTTCTCGTCTCACCCAATCCAAGGCTTCGGCCGATTCCCAATTCTATTATGTTCTTCTCATCTAAATCCCTAGTTCTTTCTCTCAATCCCTAAATCCCTAATTGTTACGATAATTACGGGTGCCGAAGATCAGTCTCTAGAATCCTTAACAAGAGGGTTCTTTCAATTGGGAATTGCAAATCATCTAGGATTGATCTTGCTTAGGGTTTAGAATAAGATATTTGGGGTTAAGAAATTGGGAAATTGAGAGGGAATGGGGAAAGGAGTGATGCGGCAACAGCTTTGCAGAAGGGAAGGAGGTTTTGGGTTAGGGAAAAGAGAGAGAAGCTTTGAGGTAAACTGTTTATTATTTTTTAAACCTAGTGAGTAAATCCTACGTACAATAATATATAAGTTGACCAACAATTCCTTTCTATTACCCGAACTAATAATCCTAACCTTTAACTACCAAATTATCGTAAAGTATGAAAAGGATAAATAACTGACAATTAAGTCCAATACGGAAATACCATAAAAACCATGTTCTATTATCCTCTCTTCTTGAGAATATCTTTGACATCAAGGTTAGCGGTCACCATCTTTCTTCTCATTTGCCTTCATGATCTCTTCCTCAGCCACATCTTTCAGCACCCCAGCAACATCATCAGATCAGGCTTTGTGCATTGATGCTAGAGAGTGAATCTCATTACAGTTGAAGTACTTCCCTTCTCGCCTCTTTTGCGCCACCTCAGCAGGGGACAACTGAACAAACCCCTTTGGAGGAAACTTGGGTTCTGGTCGAGTCACCACTCACCAATGGAACAGTGGTATCAGCTAACGCGACTCCTGCACTGGCTCCCATGGCCATAGTCGTGCACCCACCGCCGGCAGTTACAACACTGCTCTCGGTTCCTCTGCCAGCCTTCTAATATCACCCAATAGTGTTTGTCCAGCTGGTTAGTTCTTCCTCCTTGTGACCTGCAAGTCTGAACGCAGTTCTCAATGAGTCATGTTTAAATACATTGACAGCATCTACAAAATCCGGTCGAAGTCCTGCCATGCATATTATCGCTATATCCACCCGTAACTGTAGTGCAATCCCCCTCGAGGTAGAATGTCGCCGGCTGCGGAAACACTGTCAGCCGCATACAGCCACAACCCAGCATCCTCCTGACCATTGATTTTTGGAAACTCAATGATTGGGGGCTCGGCCCTAAACAAAAGCTCATCATCAGTATCCTCCAGAGTCGGATGATTCCAGAACCACCTGCCGCACACAACCACAACCCAAAATCCTCCTGACCATTGACTTTTGGAAACTCAATGATCGGGGGCTCGGCTCTAAACACAAGCTCATCATCAGTATCATTCATCTGATTGTAACCTCCATACTTGCCAATTCCTGGCGTCCCAGAATGGTGTCCCCAAGGCAACTACTGCTCTCGGTCCTGATTCCACTAGCCTTCCTCACCCTTTGGGTAGTCCTTTGTCTCCCTAACCCGCCTCGCGAGCCTTGTCCAACCTCTAGGTTCCTTCCCTAGTGACGTCCAACAGACATGGGAGTGGTGAAAGGAGGGTATTGCATGCTGACGTCGCCCGGAAAGCCCTTCTAAGTCGAGGACCCCCTGCTGCTCGCTCCTGTACGGTTCTGGTCGAAGTGGTTCAGTTCGATCTCGGCTTCATCGATTTCATTTCTACTAAGTCTAACCCAATCGACCCGGTTCAATTCCGATCAGCTGTCTCGGCCCATCTCCCTTGTCTGCTCCAAGTCCAGCCCTTCGTGGCCCGACCCGGCCCATGCACCTATTCTTCCTCCTAGACTTAGCTCGGCCGCCTCTTGGGCCCGTTCGACCCAGTCCAACTAGGCCCACCAAAACTCCCAGACCACTCCTGCTCCATCTGTGGGCCCGGTCCCAATAGCCCATATGCCGCGTTGTGGGCCAGGTTGTCATATCTCATCATCTTCGCCTTTATACGCGGTATTGAACTTTCTTGTGTCGGTGGAGTCGGCAAAAAGCTCGGTCCCACGTGAGGGTCCAATGAGACTTAACCCCCACGTTTCTAGTTCTGCCTTAGCACCGTCACCAGCATGCCCACCGACACCGACCTACTTGCACTCGTCGAGCCGTCTGTCGCCGTTGAGGCCTCCAATCCATCACCGCCGCTTCCTTCTCGCCTGCCGTGTCAGCGGCCACCAATTTGGCCGTAGTCTTCCCTCCAGCCGTCACCCCCGCATCGGTCATCAGCCTCGAATCGCGCTCCGAGAGCTACATGACGGTCGTGGTGGTGATGACCATCACCATCTCTCGTAGGCCGCAGCTCCTTCATCTCTTCACGCAGCTCAACTTGCGACGCCCTCATCTCCGCCCGCAACACCCTCTATGCCTTTTCTCCATTCTCCCGCATCTCGGTCAATCTCGCCACGGACGTCTTGAGCATCTCTATGTCTGTGGCATCTTCAACGAATACACCTTCAGTTTCCTCGACAACTTTTTCGGTGGTAGAACCGGTCGCGCTAACCATAGTCTTGTCATTGATCGCCTTCTTGGCTGCCAGCTTATCCTGCGCAGCCTTTTCATCCGCTTTCTCAGCTGCAGTCTTTGCTCTTGATGCAACCATCGCGTCTTTCACTCTAGTTCTTTGCACAGACCTACTCTAATACCAGGATAGTAGAAACCACGATCTAGGGTGCTCCCTTATTGATTTAGAGAATTGGGAATTGCATATCAACTAGGTATTGATCTTGCTTAGGATTTAGAATAAGATATTTGGGGTTAAGAAATTGGGAAATTGAGAGGGAAGGGGGAAAGGAATGCTGTAGTAGCAACTTTGCGGAAGGGAAGGAGGTTTCAGCTAGGGAAAAAGATAAAGAGAAGCTTTGGAGTAAGTTGTTTAATATTCTTAAAACCTAGTGAGTAATTCCCACGTACAATAATATATAAGATGTCTGACAATTTCTTTCTACTGCCCAAATTAATAATCCTAACCTTTAATTCCCCAAATTACCATAAAATTTGGAAAAGATAAATAACCGACAATTCAGTCCAATACCAAAATACCATAAAAACCATGTT